GCACAGCTCCACGGCCCTGCCTGCCCCAGCGTGCGGCCGCGCGCTCCGTGAAAGGCTGAGCCATGCAGGTGCCGCCTAGGCCCTCGCGCCAGCGCTGCCGCTTCCTGCGGGCGCAGCCGTCGAAGCCGATGCTGCATGCCCCGTGCTGGGGGCAGCAGGGTCGCCTCCAGCTGCTGCCGCCAGCGCGGTGAAGGAGCCTGGACGGGGCTGGATTGGCTTCACGCTGACCCCCTCCGCTGATGCGGCTCCCATTCCACCCCCTGCATATGTGCCGCTGGGGTCATCCACGGCGTTCGCGTCGGCGGTCCCAACGCCCTCGCACTGGCTGAGGCTTGCGAACGCATAGTGCGCGCACAGTTCCATCCACTCGGCCTCGTCGAGCTCTGGATCGGGAGCGTGCACGTGCGGGAGCCAGCCTCGAGCGAGGCGCTCGAGGTTCCTCCGAACCCCTTGCACGCCCACCTCGATGGCGCTCCAGTCGCCGACGGCCGCCACTCGCTCAAGAGCGGCGCAAAGGATTGGGGGCTGTGGCGTCGCCCGTAGGTCGCCACTCAGATTGGGCTGCGGCGTCGCTCGCAGGTCGCCACTCAGACTGCCGCCGCCCAAGTGCGGCACCCAATCCGTGGGGGCCTGGGCGAAACATCGATGGCAATGCGGGCGCCAGGGAGGGGCCTGCTGTAGTCGCCGCGCCCCTCCAACCACCGCTTCGACTCCAAGTAGTTGTCGACCGTTCGGTGTAACTCCCCCCCATCCTCGGGATCGAGGAGGCCGAGCTGTCGAGGGAGACGAACCAGCTCTAGCCTGCCAGGGCCCCCGCGCCGCCACGCAGAAGAGCAGACCTCTCTCGCGGTGCGCATGCGGCTATCGAAGTCCTGCGCCAGGCCCGCGGCGACGTGCGTCGGCAAGCCCAGCATGCGGAAGCTGTAGGGCGCGCACTTCTCCATTCACTCGGCCTCGTCATCGCAGTAGTTGGGGCTGCTCGGATTGGAGACCCAGCTGCGAGCTCGACGCCCCAACACGCGCTTGTAACGCTTGATGGCACTGGCCTGCACGCGCTCGGCCTCGCGGCGCTCGGGGCCCAGCTCGAGGCGCGCCTCAGACGCGGATCCCCCGCCATCGGCCTCAGCGCCCCCTGCGAGAAGCCTCGCCTGGGTGAAGTAGTCGCTCAGGTGCATGAGCTTCTTCCCCTTGAAGCTGGCCTTGGGGCACTTGATGGGACGCGCCTTCGCCTGGGAGCCGAAAGCGAACTTCGGCGGGCCCCCCGTCGCCGGTAGAAGTCGGCGTCGTCGGGGCCGATCTGATAAGCCCAGACGAGCTCATCCTCTACGCTCTCGCAGAGCCCCTGGTAGGCTTCCTCCATGTCCTGCAAAGTGCCGCTCATGTCGATCTGGGCCCGAACAGAGTTGTGGTCCCAGTGCTTCTCCAGCATGGGGCCGAAAGGGCGGGCCTTGGGGGAAAGCCATCGGCCCTTGACCCTGAACGACTGGCCCATGTCGCCGTAGCAGGAAAGGCTGAGCTGCACGGCCATCTGTGGGCGGCAAGGGTTGGCACACCCCTGGGCGGTCATGTTCAAGCGCATGCAGGCGAGGACTCGGTCGAACATCTCAGAGCTGACAATGAACCAGTCGAGCTCCGAGGGCTCCTTGGTCGGGGAGCGCTGGCAAGCGCCCACGCCCGCGTCGACCACGTGACCGCCGACTTTGCAGAGCCAATGCCCCGCACGCTGCAGGAAGCGCTCGGGCTCCACGTTCCAGTCGCCTGCGATAACCCACAGCTTCCCTATTCGCTTGATGGGGGGGGGCGACCTCCTGCAGCACGGGCTGGCTGGTCTCGCCGACGACGTCGTTGTCCAGGTATACGGAGCCCAGCAGAAACCCGCCAGGTACTGCTCCATTGGCATGGGCCACCGTGGCCCTGCCGTCAGAGACGTGGCAGCTGGCCTTGCCGCCCTGATCGCCTGGGCCGCACATGCCGCGGGCAGAGCGAACGGCGACTCCAGTGCCACCGCTCACCGCGCGCTGCTGCGATGCCCCCACGGGACTCACGCCTGGGGTCAGCACCGCGCTCCAGCCGACCTGCCTGCACCATTGCTCCTGCTCGACGACTCGGTAGCCGTTGAGGTGGTGCTCCTGGAAGCAGATCGCGTCGCCCATGTGCGCGTCGGCGACTACCTGCTGCCGCGGGCCCTGCTGCTCGCCAAGGATGGCCGTGAAGGGGCCCCAACCGCTGCCGTTGAGGCTGACCACCGTGAATGTGGGCTTGCCACCCACGCTCCCCCCTCCGCTCGAGCCCCGAAGAGCAGAGGTTCTGGAGGAGCTTCCGCGCGCGAAGCCTGCGCCTCTGGGCGGCCTGGGCTGCGGGGTCACCGCGTCGAGCCCCTTCGTCGCCGCTGCCAGCGCCTGCTGCCGCGCTGCCCTCCTCCGCGGGGACCTCGACCTCCTCCTCCATGCTGTCCAGGATGTTGCTGAGGTCGGCCTCGTCGAGCTCTTCGTCACCGCTGTCGCGTTCTGCTGCTGCACCAGCTGACGCGACGCTATGAGCCAGCCGACGAAGCTGGGAGATTTGCTGTTCCCACTGCTGAGCGTAACCTGCATTGAGCATGCCAGAGGCCTGGTCCAAAGCTTCCAAGAAAGCTGCGGCGCGTTCGCCCTCGCTGAGCAATACTGCTGGGGACCGAGGCGCTGCTGCCGCGGCGCCCACCCCCACCGTTCCTTTTCCGAGTGCACCCTCACGCTCGCGTTTGTGCTTGGCCAAGAGGTTGTCGATAAACGCCTGGAGCTCCTTCTCGGCTGCCTTGCTCTGCTCGTGCTTGCCCCCCAGCTCGAGCTTCTGCGCCTCGAGGCCCGCGATCTCCTGCGCGGTGTCCGGGATCTCCTTGGCAAGCGCCTCCGAGGTGCTCTGTTGGTTCCGCTGTTTGCGCTCGAGCTCGCTAAGCTGAACGGACGTGGGCTTTTCCTCGGAGAGCTCGCGTACCAGCTGCTGTGCCTCCTGCCGCTTGCCCGCCAGTATCTCTGCTGCACCCTCCACACCTTCGAGCCTTTTGATGTCGCTCCGTAGCTTCCCAAGTCGTCGTACTCTCTCGTCCTTCGAGGCGGAATGGGCTGCTGCGGCTGCTGCTGCGCCTGCGTCGCCACCTGAAGCTGCAAGATAATCCCCTTTCGAGGTTTTTGACCTTGCGCCGCAACTGGTTGAGCTCGTGGCGTTCCTTGGCGCCCAGTTGCGACATGCCACTCCACCACGAGCTTGCACCAGATCCTTGCCCCCACCAATCCAATCCGCAGCTGCGACAGACGTGCCTGGAGCCCCAGCTTTTCTTGGATCCGCACTTGGGGCAATCCCAGGCTGTGGGCTGGCTGCCTCCACCGCTGCTGCCCCCAACTCCGCCTGGCTGACCTCCCCCGCGTCCGCCTCTGCCGCCTTTACCGCCGCCACCGCGCGCGGCACCTCGAGCACCACCACCACCACGTCCTGCCATTTGTCGAGCCCGCCGCGGCTGGGCTCCCAATCGGGCGACTGGGGCCGGGTGCCGGAAAGGTTGTGGATATGAAAGAACTGTGGCCTCGAAGGCCTCGCTGAAAGCTTGGTCGATTTGGAATATGACCCCAGAAGTGGCGCGACAGCTAGGGCCAGCCACATGGGACCAGACATCTGCCCTGATCGCATCATCTTGAGCCAAAATGGCTACGGATGATGCTGGTGATGGTGATGATGGCGAGGGTTGTGATGATGCTGATGATTATGGTGATGATGCTTCTGATGATGATGCTGATGAGGATGCTGAAGATGATGATGAAGATGATGATGCTGATGATGATGAAGAGGAGGAGGAGGAGGGGATGAGGGGGATGAGGAGGAGGAAGAGGAGGAGGAGGAAGAGGGGGAGGAGGAGGAGGCGGATGAGGAGGAGGAGGAGGAGGAGGGGGAGGAGGAGGTGAAGGAGGAGGAGGAGGATGAGGAAGCAGAAGACGAAGACAAATAACAATACGACGAAGAAGATGCATAACAGTGATATTAACAAACTAACTAAGAATCATATTCCGACGAGTTTAAAATGCTAATAAGACGAAAAAGAGTACGAGCAATAATACTACTACTACTACTACTACTACTACTACTACTACTACTACTACTACTACTACTACTACTACTACTACTACTACTACTACTACTACTAACAAGAATAACAATACTGAAACGAACAAGGATACCATAGGAGTATTAATACGAGTAAAAAATACGCATGATGAAATGCGACTATAATAATATGTAAATAATAATGATCACTAAGCAATCATCATATGAGATTCTGCGAATCTTATATAATTTGTGTAATATACGAATATGCGAAACTACGAATACTACGAAAATAACGAATATACGATTATGAGAATATGCAAATAATGTACGCAATATCTATATATAGATATGGAAGCATACTAAGCATGCTACGAATATCAATACGAATAATGATGCTACGGATACGAATAATAAGAAATACATGTGTACTACAAATCCCAATGGTAATACTAATACGACTAATAGTAGTAGTAATAAAATAATGGTGCCAGTAATAATAATAATGATGCTAAGAGGAGGAGGAGAAGGAGGAGGAGGAAGAGGAAGCGGCGGAGGCGGAGGAGGAGGAGGAGGCGGAGAAGGAGGAGGAGGAGGAGGAGGAGGAGGAGGAGGGAGTATGAGGAGGTGGAGAGGAGGAGGAGAGGAGGAGGGGAGGAGGAGGAGGAGGAGGAGGAAGAGTTGGAGGAGGAGCAAGAAACAACGAGCAAGGAGCAAGGATCAGGGAGGAGGAGGAGGATGAGGAGGAGGAGGAGGAGGAGGAGGTGGAAGGAGCAGGGGAGGAGGTGGGAGGAGCAGGGGAGCAGGAGGAGGAGGCGCCTGCAGCAGCCCGAGGGACAGGAGCAGCAGCCAGCGCGAGCGGCAGCACGGCGCGGAGGAAGGCGCGGGGCGGGCGGGGGGGAGGGGGTCGGGGGCGGGCGGCGCAGGTGGCCACCTTCATGTTCCGGGAGGACCGCTCCCGCCCGCAGCTCCGACGCTCCTCCTGCTGCCTCCCCCCCTCCCTCGCGCCCTCCCGCCCTCCCTCCCTCCCTCCTGCTGCCTCCCTCCCTCCCTCCTCCCTCCTCCCTCCCTCCACCAGCCCTCCTCCTCCCGCGTCTTCCCCCACCCTCCTCCGCCCTCCCCGTCCCTCATTCCCCGTGCTCCCCATCCCTCCTCACCTTCCCTGGTCTCCCCGGCGCCTCCTCCTCCCTCCCTCACTGCCCTTCCTTCTCCTCCTGCATGCCCGTATCACGTCATCGCTTCCTCTGTGGAGAGAAGGCCGTCCGTCTACAGAAGGTGGACAGGTCGCTAAGTAGGAAGAGTTTGAGCACATGGAGAGACATATTGATGTGTGTTGATATTGACCACTACGTGCTGAATTGCGGCCACACTCGGGCTGCAGCCAAGTGCTCCCCGTGAATTGTGGACTTCAAATTCAAAGGCCATTTCAACTCAAACAGTTGCAGAGAGTCTTCAAAGGTAAGTCGAGACACGATTTGGTGGCAAGTGCCTGGCATCGGAGACGGCTATCATTACGTATAACGCTTGGGGTGGCAAGCAGTTGCGAGAATGAATTTGGTATGCATGCTGCGTTTGATGTGACCGATGATGGTTTTAAGACTGGATATGGCCGAAGAGATGATCACATCAGACACGTTTGGCAAATGCCGTTCTGCTAGTGAAGATGGTACTACCCACACTATGTGTTACGGCCCGTACAAGACAGAACCAGTCCGTGCCCAAGCAAGTACTGCAGACCTCGAAGGACCATACCCGGCGTTCGACCCAGTGTCCAGGGCCACGCCGAGCCCGACGCCGAGCCCCACGCCACGACCCCCAAGGCGAACTCCGTCTCCGGCCCCGGCGACCCTCACCTTGGTCCATGTGCACGGCCAGCAGTGCGATCTCGACCAGCTCGGGGTGCACATGCTCGCCTGGGATGCCGAGGCTGGTGAGGCAGAGGTCTGCGCTGCTCGTGCCGGCGAGGGCGACTCGGCTGGGGGCCGCTCGAGCGTGCAGATTTGGGAGGAGCAGGAGGAGGAGGGAGGAGGGAGGAGGGAGGAGGAGGAGGAGGAGGAGGAGGAGGAGGAGGACGAGGAGGAGGAGGAGGCGGAGGAGGAGGGAGGAGGAGGAGGGAGGGAGGGAGGGAGGGAGGGACGGAGGAGCAGGGGGAGTCCTTCACGGGAGATGAGCATGGCAGGCACGTGGGCTCGGCGGCGCCGAGCGGCAGACCTGACCTGGGCCGCCGAGGACGCCGCGCCCGGCCGCCCGAAGCGGCACACGTGCAGCCAGGTCAGCGCGAAGTGGCCCACGGCCGCGCTGCACCAGGCACGAGGTCAGAGGAGGAAAGGGTACCCATACCGCTACCCTGCCCTCGTGTTCCCTTTCTTGGGCCTCTTCGGAGGCCCTCGTCACCGCCGCTGGATTCGCCTCGAAGTCCTGGTCAGAGCGCAGCCCGGCAGAGGCCTGGGGAGCAGCGGTATCGGTATTTCTTGGTCTCCCCACGAGGTACCTGAAACGTTCTCTTGCGGGGCCTGGGCAGCGCCAAGTTTTGATTTTGATGCCTCCTCGGGGAGGACGATCACACCAGAGCACACCGAGCACGAACTGCCGGAAGGTCATGACACTCTGACCGTGTGCGACCAGACCGTGAGCAAACGCAACGGTTTAGGCCTCTTATCTAATGTGCTCAGTCCTAGTGCCATGTCTGTCAATACCCGATCCCTCTTCACCCGCACGCTCCCTATTCCTGAGTTCGGTACCCCAGGCCTCACCATAGCCCTACGGGCTCAATGGGCCGATTGTTAGCGTTGCGAATAGTCAGACGGTGTACAGTGCACAGCTTCCTCCCTCGCTCCACCCCCTCCCAATCCGAAAGTGGGGCGAATGCAGGTAGTGTGCCTTGTTTGCCAAGTCCCTGGGTGCGTCCTACTCCTGCCGGTGTTCTGCATGATCCGTGCCGCGATGTAGCTTCACACAACTCTGTCTGCCGTGTGGCCCCATACGAAAATTGAAACCGGCCCGGCGTGGACCCAGATCGCCACAAAAGTCTCGCCAGTTGCCTTTTGCTAGTGTCACAGTGCGCCGCACGGCTGTGCAGCGCGCGTCTCGTGACAAAATCACTAGTTTCTCGTTGAGCCCATGAAACCCAGAATCAAGGGACCGTTGTCCACCTTGAGACTCATTGCCCCTTCAAGGCCTGTTTGGGACTGGAAGATAGACCCAAGACGGCCCCCACGGTAGACCAAGATCCCTGGAGTTTGGACTCGTCTGGAAAATCCAAGGCCCGATGGATCTTCATCCACTTTGGGAAGCAAATGCCAGGAGCTGCTTGACGATGCGCACGTGTCCGAAGTCAAGCAAAGCATAGACGACACTCTGCTCAGCTGGGAGGTGTCCTCACGTCGGAGGACGAGGAAGGTGTAAGGAGGAAAGCTGGGGAGGAGGAGTGCCAGTGCGGTGGCCTGCCTCGCGTGAAGGTCGGCATCCACACTAGACAGAAGCACGGAGTGACTGTGGGCACCGACAGCTGCGTGCAGAGCAACAACAGTTCCGCTTCTGGGACCGCTGCTTCTCCCTCCGCAGTGGTGAGCCTGTCGCCGGCCTAATTTTGGCAGGCTCCTCCTCCCCCTCCCCATCCTCCTCCTCCTCCTCCTCCTCCTCCTCCTCCTCCTCCTCCTCCTCCTCCTCCTCCTCTTCCTCCTCGCCCTCTTCCTCCTCCTCCTCCTCCTCCTCCTCCTCCTCCTCCTCCTCCTCCTCTTCCTCCTCGTCCTCCTTCCTCCTCTCCTCCCTCCTCTCCTCCTTCCTCCTCCTCCTCCTCGTCCTCATCCTCCTCCTCCTCCTACCCCCCTCCCCCTCCTCTCCTCCTCCTCTCCTCTCCTCCTCCTCCTACCTTCTCCTCCTCCTCCTCCTCCTCCTTTTTCTTCTTCTCTTCCTCCTTCTGCTTCCTTCTCCCCCTCCTCTCTCCCTCCTCCCTCCCTCCCTCTATCCTGCTCCTGCCCACTTCCCCATCCGTTCGTCCTTCCCCCCCCCCTCGCCGCCCGCTCCGGCGCAGGCGCCTGAGTATCCCGCCGCCGCGCCCCGGCCGTCCCAGCCGCAGGGCCAGTACGCGCACCACGCAGGCCGCGCCGCGCGCCGCGCGCCCTCGTCCGCGAGTGCCCTCGGCGCTCCTCGAAGGCCCTCGGCGGCCGTCGAGAGCCTTCGGCGGCCTTCGGCCTTCCGCGATTTCCCTCGGCGAGTGCCGACGGTGGCCGAGGGGCCTCTGGCGGCCCGCGAGCGCGGGCGCAGGGCCTGCGATGGAGGAGCGATGGGGGGGGGGAGAGGAAGTGGAGGAAAGGGCAGGAGGAGGATGGGGAGGGAGAGGAGGAGGAGGAGGGAAAGGAGGAGAAGGGAGGAGGAGGAGGAGGAGGAGGAGGGGAGGGGAGGAGGGTAGGAGGAGGAGAGGAGGAGGAGGAGGAGGAGGAGTGAAAAGGAGGAGGAGGAGGAGGAGGTGGTGGAGGAGGAGGGGGTGGGGGTGGAGGAGGAGGAGAGTAGGATGAGGAGGAGGAGGAGGTGGAGGAGGAGGAGGAGAGGAGGAGAGAAGAGTAGGAGGAAGGTGGTAGGAGGAGGAAGGAGGAGGAGGAGGAGGAGGAGGAGGAGGCGGAGAAGGTGGAGGAGGAGGTGGAGGAGGGAGGTGGAGGAGGAGGAGGAGGGTAGGAGGGGAGGAGGAGGAGGAGGAGGAGGAGGAGGAGGACGGAGGAGGAGGAGGAGGAGGAGGAGGAGGAGGAGGAGGAGGCGGAGGGAGGAGGAGGAGGAGGTGGAGGAGGAGGAGGAGGGAGGAGGGAGTGGGGAGAGGAGGATTAGGAGGAGGAGGAGGAGGAGGAGGAGGAGGAGGAGGAGGAGGAGGTAGGAGGAGGAGTGACGGATGAGTAAGGTTAGGAAAAGAGGAGGAGGAGGAGGAGGAGGGAGGAGGAGAGGAGGAGGAGGAGGAAGGAGGAGGAAGGAGGAGAGGAGGAGGAGGAGGTAGGAGGAGGAGGAGGAGGAAGGAGGAGGGAGGAGGAGGAGGAGGACGGGGGAGGAGGCGGAGGAGGAGGAGGAGGAGTAGGAGGAGAGGAGGAGGGCGGAGGCAGGATGGGCGGAGGAGGAGGAGGAGGAGCGGGAGGGCACCCTGAGGAAGGCAGGACGAGAGTTGGCGAGGAGGGCGTGGCACAGAGGGGAGGAGCCCGGCTCCGGGCCCGGGCCCCGGCCGGTCGCAGCCGTGCGTCCGGGCCGCGGGCGTGGCACCGGCGCGCTGGGCGTCGGCTGCCGCCCGCCTCCCGCTCGCCGCCCTTCCCGCGCCCGCCGCCCGTGCAGCCGCGCGCTCCCCGCGGCGCTTCCCACGGCAGCAGCCGCGCCCCGCCCGGGCGCCCCTCGCGCGCAGCCCGCCGGCGGGCCGCGCCGTTCGGCGCTCCTCGGCGAGCGCGGGGCGGGCGCCGAGGAGCGCCGCGGCGGGGCCTCTGCAGCCCCAGGCGGCAGGGCGTCCGTCCTCGGCGTCGCTCGGGCGCGTGTCTCGTGCTTTTGTTTTCTCGGCGAGGGCCCTCAGCGAGGACCCTCGGCGAGGACCCTCGGCGAGGGCCCTCGAGGAGCAGGGGCAACAACACGGCGAGGACCCTCGGCGCGGACCCTCGAGGACCGGGCGAGGACCCTCCTGCGACAGCAAGGAGCGCACGGGGCCGAAGAGTGCGCGGGGAGGGGTTGGATGCTTCAGTTGTGGAGGCCGTGGGCACGTCCAGCTGAGGGCTCAGGGCTGGGGGGCGGCCACGACAAAGACATAGACATAGACATAGGCATAGACATAGACATAGACCTAGACCTAGACCTAGACCTAGACATAGACATAGACATAGACATAGACATAGACATAGACATAGACAGACGACGACGACGACAAAGACGATAATGACGGCGACGAAGACGACGACCACCACCACCACCACCACGACCACGACCACGA